CTGCGCGCGCACGCATGTGTTCGACACGCGCCGTGCAATACTACGGCTCCCTATCCGAAGGCCCTGCCAAGGGCACCCCGTGTTTTCCCCCCTCCAGGCAGATGCGTGTGTATGTGCATGGGCATGTGTGCAACTAAGCGCTCGGTTTATCGGTGGGCGAGGCAGGGGGGAAGGGGAGTTGGGGGCGACACAAAGTGGGCAGGGGAAGAGGAGGGGGGGGGGGGGGAGGCGGGGGGGGGGGGGGGGTGGGGGGGGGGGGGGGGGGGGGGGGGGGGGGGGGGGGGGGGGCGAGGCCGAGGGGGGCGGGCGGGCGGGTGCCAGCGGCAGCGGAGAGAAGGACAGAGGCCGGGCCCTCGGGCCAAGGGAAACGCACTCCGGCGAAGGGCCGCCTGGGCGATGTTGGTCATGGCGTCGGCCTCGTCGAGGATGACCATCTTGAAGCCGACGCGGTCGGCCGTCGCCGAGCGGAAGCTCACCGAGGAGGTGGACGCGAAGGAGACAATGCGATCGCGCACGGTGGCAATGCCGCGCTCGTCCGAGGCATTTAGCTGTGCGAAGGGTGTGTGCATGCGCGAAAGGGGTCAGCGCCTGCGGGGGCGGGGGGCATATTCGCCCGACGGGGGGGGGGGGGGGGGGGGGGGGGGGGCGGGGGTGGGGGGCGATGGCGGAAGGGAGAGCGCACCTCGAGAACCATGCTGCCGAAGGTCGGGCCATAGAGAGCCCGGCAGCAGGCCAGAGCAGTGGAGGTCTTACCCGTGCCTGGGGGTCCATAGAAAAGCAAGTGAGGCAGCTGCTTCTGATTGATGAAGCGCTTGACTGGCGGGTCGGAAAGGGGGCGAGGGGGGGTCAGACGGGGCGGTGGTGTCCATTTAGAGTGGGGAGCGGGGGAGAGAGGGAGGGGGAGAGAGGGAGGGCGAAGCACGCACGCGTGGAGACGATGTGCTCCTGGGCCACGACCTCCTCCAGGCCGGAGGGACGGTATTTTTCGATCCTGAGCATGATCAGGCCGGCGGGCCACAAATGTCAGCGCGAATGGCGAACATGGGGCGGGGAAAGGATGAAGCGGCGGCGGCGACAGCGGCGGCGGCGGCGGCGGCGGCGGCGGCAAAAGAGGTCGGACCATGGGAGGTGGCTGTCCTGGCGGGGGGGGCTGGGCGAGTCGACTTCCATCGTGTACTTGTGGGCGCGGGGCAGGGGCGGCGAAGGGAGGGACGGCGGGGGGAGGGGCGGCGAGGGGAGGGGGGGGGGGGGGGGGGGGGGGGGGGGGAGAGGGGAAGGAAGCGAGATGGCCACCCGCCCCGACCGGCATGGCCCGCCCTGGGGCCAGATCTACTGCGCGTGTGGCGGGGCTCCTCCGGAGTGGCAGACGTGCGAGGGCGGGGCGAAAGGGCGCCGAGAATGCATCATCTTTCCGAGGGCGACAGGCGCCACTCGTCGACCCGCGCCTGCTCCCGTCCGCCACTCGGCATGGGCAGGGGGCGCACTGCCCGCCGCAAAGAGCAGGCAGATCGCGGGATGCCAGCGGGGGAGTTTAAATCCAACGGCGAAGAGCATGTGATTGACATTCGCCCTATGCGAGGGTGACCCGGAAGTCACGCCCGGGGTGCGCCCGATCTGCCCTCGCGCCCGATCTCCCACCGCCCTTGCCTGGCCGGCGGCCGGCCCATCATCTCCCCCCGCTAGATCCGTTTTTTTCTCCCACTCTCTCGTGCTCTTCTTCAGACCGCGCGCCTGGCCGGGTGCCACCGTGGCTCCGGGGAGATATACCACCCACCATCCTTCTCCTCCTCCTCCTCCGCCCCGCCTCTTCATACGCGCCTGTTTTCTCTCTCTCCCTCTCTTTCTCCCAGGAGCAGCCTTCCCTCTCGCCCGTCGCCTTCACCATGTCCAAGGACACCGATGACCAGTCTACCGGGCAGGATGCCCCCGCCGAGCAGCAGTTCGTCTTTTCAGTGGTCGACAGCGAGGACGACAGCGGCAGCGACGCCGACGGCGCGGCGCCCGCTGGCGATGAGGACTCCGACCCGGACGTCATCGAGGAGGATGCCGAGCAGGTCCTCGAGCGGTATTTTGCCGGCTGCAACAACGGTGCGCCCCGTCCTCGGTTGTTGTTTTTTTTTCCCCGTCTCCGGCCACCCAGTCCAGGCCATGTGGGCGGGTGGATCGCTCTCTGCCTCTCCCCTTCTGCTCGCTCGCCTTCTCCTCCCTGGAGGTGGTCTCGCATGGATGAATGGCTCGCCACTCACCCCCCTCTTGCTCTTACCCCCGAAACGCCCCCCCCCCCCCCCCCCGGTGCGCTGCAGATATCGAGCGCCTGGCCGTCATCGACACGGTCCGCAAGTCGATCAAATCCTTCACGCAAAATGACGACGATTCGCTGGAGAGCTCGGAGCTCTTCAAGCGCCTGGCCTCCGACGTGCTGACCCTCCGGTATGTGTGGACTTTGGTGGGGGGGGGCCATGCACACCCGGCGTCGGTCTCGCCATGTGTCCATGCATGCATGTGTGAGCGGGCGACAGGCGCCACGGGGCAACGCCATGCGCGCGTGTGGCCCAAAGACGCCCATCTCTGACCCCCTCTTCTCTTTGACGCCCCCCCCCCCCCCCCCCCCCCCCCCCCCCCCCCCCCCCCCCCCCCCCCCCCCCCCCCCCCGCGCCCATCCTCGCCATGTCCCCGGGCCACAGGTCCAGCCTCGCCATGGAGATGGATGACGACTTTGCCAACGACCACTTCACCTACGGTGTGGCCCTGTTCGAGGGGGCCGTGCGCAGCGTGGACCCCTTCCAGGCGTCGTCCTCCGGGGCTACCGCCAGCACCGCCGCCGCCAAGCCGGCCGCCAAGCCGGCCGCCGCCGCCACCGGTAACTCGGACGAGGCCGCCGACGAGGCGGACCCCGAGACACTGGACGACTTCGACGAGGCCTGGGAGATGTTTGAGATTGCCCGCCTTCATTTCGAGAGCACTTCCAACCGCCTGGGCCTTGCGCGCGTCCACAACTACCTGGGGCAGATCTACATTGATGACTGTGCGTGCCCTGGCGGCTCTGCCCCTTGCCCCACCTGCTTTTTTGAGGGCCTGCCGGCCCTGCCCGCGCTGCCTGCTCCATGCTCACCTGCTGTGCCCGTGCGCCCGGCCGCTGCCTGGTGCAGCGGCCAACGCCGAGCTTGCCCTCGCGGAATTCGACAAAAGCGCGTCCTTCCTTGACCGCGACAACCCGGAGCACGCGCGCCGCTTCGCCGAACTATATCCTTTCTGTGCCTCTGCTTTCTGTGCCCCTCTCCGGGCCCCTTTTTGCCTGTGCCTCTCGCGCCACTCCCTCCGCTTTGACGCTTGCCCCCTCTCCTCTCAATCCACGGTGTGCTTCCTTGACTCGCATCCTCCTCCCCTGTTTCCCCCCCCCACTCTCTCTCTCTCTCTCTCTCTCCTGCCCCTCCCCCCTCCCCTCGGTCCCGCCATTTGGATGCCGCCAACACGGACTTCAACCGGCTGCGCGCGCACCTGCTCACCAACGACTTCCGCGGCGCGCGGCGGTGCCTGGACGAGGCCATCGCCACGCTGCGGACGTCGGCCAACACGGCGACCACCGCCTCCAGCGACCTGGCCGACCTGATCACCCTCATGCAGGCCAAGCGCCGCGAAGTGGACGCCCTGGAGGCGGAGTACGGCAACATGAAGCGCGTCGCGTCGGAGGCCTTCTCCGATGTGGCGGCCGGTTTCGGGCTCGGGTCCTCCCGGGCAGCTGGCGCCAGCGCGCCCGGCCAGCCGGCCTCCGGTGCCGGTGCCAAGCGCAATCCCTTCCCCGGGGTCTCGCCGGATGCCCCGATCTCCGACATTCAGAGTGTCGTGCGCAAGAAGCGCAAGACCGACGAGTGATGTCGATCCGCCGCCGTCCGGCTTTTTGTCCCTCCCCCCCACCCCCCGCTTGCTCCCTGGCCCGGTTCCCCTCCTCCCTCCCTTTTTGCGGGGCGGTCTGGCTCCGAGCAGGACCCCGAGTGCGCGCATCTACGCACATACACCAGGGCAGGCGGGCTGTAGATGCGAAGGGTAACAATGTATTGTAAATACTCAAGGACATGTGTGGTGCGTGTGTGTGTGTGTGAGGGAAGGGGGGGCTGCGCAGGGGGCGAAACAGCCGGGGGGTGCTCGGAAGGGAGCAAGAATGAGAGGGAGAGGGAGATGAGCAGAAGGAGGGCATATATATATATATATATGCAAAGATAGGTGTGTGCATGTGCGTGTGTGTGTGTGTGTGTGTGGATTCACGGCGCTGCCTGGCCTGCTCTCGGCCATCCTTGCGGCGGGGGACACCGGGAGAGGGTGGCGAGGGTGTAAGCAGTCACGCGCAGCCACGCACATGCGACCAGGCACCCATGTCTCGCCCGGCTCTGCCGCGGCCCGCGCGTGCCGGGCCCCCTCTCATCCCTAAGAGGAGTCGTGCCCCTCGTCGTCATCGTCTTCCGGGAAGGCCGAGACGGCCATCGCCGCGTGCCGGCCGCCGGCCAGCGACGCGGTATTCTCTATGAGCGTCATACGCAGGTCTTGGTACTTCTGCCGGAGCTCCGTCAGGCGGGCTTCCATCATGCGGATGCGCTCGGCTGGCGATGTCTCCCGGGCCAGACCCGGCAGCAGGGCATTGATGTCGACCGTGTGCTCGGAGGCCCGGTCACGCAGGGCTTGTGCCAGGGACTCCGGCACCGACACCGAGTGCAGGATCACCATGCGCCGGCGCTTGGCGCCGCCCCGGCGGCCGGCGGCCCCATCGGCGGCCTCGGCCCCGGAGGAGGACTGCACCGCCGGCGAGCTGGGAGACCCGGCCGTGGCATGGGCCCGCTTGGTCGATCGCGTGGCCGAGGGCGGGTGCGGCGGGCGCTGTGCCACCGGCGAGTCGTCCGCCGCCCCGCCATGCGCCAGCGGCGAATGCGGCGTCCGGCCGCCGAGGCCACTGCCCGCGGCGCGGGCGGCCGACAGTGAGCCGGCCCCCGAGGCGTGGGCACCCCCCCGGCGGCTGCCCCCGCCGGCCGGGGTCACGGCCTCATCACCCGACGGGGGGGCCGGGCTGTCGGCATCCGTCAGCGAGGCCAGCGAGGCCGAGGCCGACACGCCTGCCGAGGAGGAGACACTGGCCCCGCGACTGGTCGCGGCACTGGTGTTGCTGCTGCTGCTGCTGCTGCTGCCGCTGCCACTTGCGGTGGTGCTGCCAAGCGGGTCGAGCTCGTCCGAGGGAGGCCCCGGCGTCCGGGGGGTGGTCCCGGCCCCGGTGTCCGAGGAGTAGTGGTCGGACTCGTTGCCGCTCTCGGACTCGAAGCCCAGCGACAGGTGGTGGCCGGTGGCGGCCGCGCGCGAGGAGGCCCGACGCCGGGCATTCACCGGCGAGGCGGAGCGCGACCGAAGCCGGCCGCCACCGCCACCGGGGCCGCCCCCGCTGCGGGACAGCCGGGCCACAGCCACCGCCGCGGCTGCCGACCCGGGGGTCGTGCCCGAGTCGCCGCCCCGGGCACCGGGCTGCTTGGCCGGGGTGATGGTGACCAAATCGTCCTCGGCCCCGGCGTCCGAGTCGCCGCCCGGCCCCGAGTCATTGGCCCGGCGCAGGAGGCGATCCGGATGCGGCGAGGCCGACCGCGACCGGGAGTGGTTGCGCGAGGCGATGCGCGACCGGGCCGCGATCGGCCGGCCGCTGCCCGGCGGCCCGGCGTCCGAGGCATCGTCAGCCGCCGGGCCCGGAGCACCAGCCCGACCTGAGGCGGCAGGGGTGGCCGAGCCGGACCCAGGGTCCGCCAGGTCGACAGTAGCCGTCGCCGTCGCCGCCGCCGCCGCCCCGCCCTCGCCACTGCCGACGGACAGGGAGCCGGACGATTCCGACCGGCTGGATGGGGCCGTGGCCGCCACCCGGTCCGGCTCGTCGCCCTGCAGCAAGTCCGCCGGGTCCAAGTCGAAGGTGTAGTTGGGCGAGCGCTGGACCGCGCGCCGGGGCCGGGTCAGGGCCAGCGGAGCGGCCGGGGTCTCCGGCGGCGAGTCCTCCCACTCGCCCGCACGCTCGGTGCCCCGGCGCTCGGAGGACACATTGACCAGGCCCCCGGCAGCGGAGTCGTCCTCCAGGTCCGGGCCCGGGTCCAGGGCCCGGGCAGGCGCGAGCAACGGGTCCGCCCGGTGGTAGGGGAGCGGATTGGGCGACTCCATTTTGATGACAATCGAGCTGCGCCGGTCGACGGCCGGGGCCGGCGAGTGCAGCGCCCCGGCCGGCGACGCGGTGGCCGACGTGGCGCCGCGCTGCGGCCGCAGGTGCGCGCCATTGACCGGCGTCGAGGCGGCCGACGACCCGGGCGAGGAGGTCGGCGACGCGGGGAACGACTCGTCCGACGGGTCGGACTCCACCACCGGCCCGGAGAACCGGACATCGTTGCAGGAGGCCGACGAGCCGGCCGCCGCCGTCGTCGCCCGGGTCGGCGAGTGGTCCTTGATTTGGGGGGAAAGATGCGGCGCCGCGCTGGCCGAGGGCATCCGCCGGGGGGATGCCGGGTGCGACGGGCCGGACATGGCAGCCGGGACGTCCTCGCGCTTGGGGCGCGTGGGCCCGCGTGCCGGGATGGTGGCCGGCGGCGGCGGCGGCGGCGGCGTGCTCGGCCGAGTGGCCGGGACAGGGCCCATCGCCGGGCGTGCTTCCGTCGTCGTCGTCGCCGCCGCCACATCCTCGTCCTCCTCTTCCTCCTCCTCATCGTCGCCATCCTCGCTGGCACCCTCGCAGTCGGCATCAGCCATGGTGTCATCGGCCACGGCTCCATCGGGCCCGGGCTTCGAGGCGACCACGGGCCGCGCCCCCGGGGGGGCGGCCGAGCGTGCGACCGGCCCCCGTGTCGGCGAGGGCCCGCCGCCGGTGCCATGGCCAATGCCACCACCGGCAGACGGCGGGGAGGCAGCGCGCGCGAACGCCCGCCGGTCCGGATCAGGCTTGACCTCCACCAGGCCCGCCTTGTCGGTCGCATCATCCTCGAGCGAAACGTCGGCGTCGGCGTCGGCGTCGGCGGCGGCGGCGGCGGTGGCGGTAGCCCGCATGTCGGGCGACAGCTTCAGCTCGAAGGGCAGGTCCCCACCGGCGGCCGGCGCAGGAGAGGCCACATCGGGGCCGGTCGTCGGCACCTCGCCGCCGTCACTGGCATCCTCGTCGTGGTCGCTGGTGGCCGGGGCCGCGACGAGGCGCGGGCGCTTGGCGGCCGCCGGCCCAGCCGCCGGCGGGCTGCCCCCGCCCTCCATGGTGTCCGACCCGTCAGACAGGACACTCCGGCGCTTGAGCTGCCGCCGGGCAGACCGGCGCGCGCGGGTTTGCTGGGCCTCGGTCGTGTCGTCGTCGGAGGTGGCGTCCTCGGCCTCCGAGGAGGCCGACGGCTGATCGGACCCGGGGTCCGACTGGCTGGCAGCCACGGTGGCCGCCGTGGCCACCACCGAGATCAACGGCGAGGAGGTCATCGGCGAGGCATTGGCGTTGTTGTGCCGAGCCGGCGGGGCCGATGGCGAGGTCGGCGGCATGGCCACACTGTCGGCCAGCAGCGAACGCCCGGCGCCCGGCCGGGCCGGGCCCGAGGGGGTGGAGGGGCTGGCGGCGGCCGGGCTGGCGCCCGGGCGCTTGCGCGATGCGCTACCACCACCCCCAGCCCCGCTGGAGGGGTTGCCGGCCGATGCGGCCATCGGCCCCAGGGGCCGGAGCACATGGTCTGAGGGGACCCACTCATCGTAGCTGGAGTTCCAGCCATTGTAGTGGACGAAGTACCGCCGGGGGATGGCGGGCCCGGCGTCGGGCCCGGCGGTCGAGCTGGCACCCGCGGGCCCGGTGGCCCCGCCGCGACGGCTGGCCGGTCCGGTGCCAGCCCCGCCGCCGGTGGCAGGGCTGCTGCCGCTGCCGCTGCCGCTGCCGCTGCCGCCGCCGGGCCCGGAGGAGGCGCCCGGGGTGCCGGGCCCGCCGCCGGAGGACTTCCCTTCGAAGTCCAACTTGAGGATGCGCGCCGAGTATTCGACCCGGTCGCGCGGGGACAGGACAACCACCCGGTCATTGGGCCGGTAGGCAACCCGGTCCCCGGAAAGGGCCACCACCGCGCCGGACACCGAGGCGATGAGGGCCGCCGCCGCGGCCGAGTCGGTCGGCGACCGGCTCAGCTGCGGGCTCGGCGGGCCGATGGCCCCGGCTGCCAGGATCTGCGGATTGGCGTGGATGCTGAAGAGCACCGTCAGCACCACGAGCACCGGCGCGATGAGGGGGACCTGCCCGGCGGCGGCGGCGGCGGCGGCCGTGGCCGCCGTCGTGGCGGCCGGCGATGCCCCCCCGCCGCCAGACGACGGCCCGGACCCCGGGGCCCCGCCGGCTGCCCCGCCCGGCCCATGGCCAACGGCGCTGGCCGCCACCAGGGCCGAGTGCGCGGCGGTGGTCACCGCCGGGAAGGCAGCCGCCGAGCTACCCACAAAGGTCCCAGCCAGCAGGGGGCCCAGCTGGCGGACGGACGTCGCGGAGAAGGCCCCCCCGCAGTGGAGATGCCGGCGCAGGCGCTTCGGCCAGCCGAGCACCAGCGAGCCGAGGTGCGCGGCCGGCTCGGTGGTGCCGACACCGCGGCGCGCGCTGCCCCCGGCCGCCGGGCCGCCAGACCGGCCGCCCAGCACCGCCTCCGGCACCGGGAGCACCAGTGACTGGTCGAGGACGTGCGGGTGCCAGGCCTCGGGATCGGTGTGCGACCGCCGGCGCAGCCGCAGCCGCGCCTCATACGGCAGCAGGTACCGCCGATAGACATCCCGCAGGTGGTACGCAAAGTTGGTGGTGTAATTCGGCAGCTCAATCGCATAGTAGACATCTCGCCAGAGGGAGGTTTCGGTGACGGCCTGGACGCCGCCGCGTCGGCGAACGGCCCGGTACAGCTGTCGCAGGTCCACTTGGGCATTGCCTGGACAGGGGACGGGGGGGGGGGGGGGAGCGCGCCAGGACCCAGCACCAGGGCCCAGGGCGAGCGCGAGGGCGACGGGGTCAGTCGGACAAACATGCAGCGAGCGGGGACAGGGAGAGAGAGAGAGAGAGGAGGAGGAGGAGGAGGGATGCATCACACGCACCGACGACCGGCGGCCGGGTAAGGCGCGGCACGCCGAGCACCGTCAGCAGGGGGGTTCGCGTGGCGCAGGCCGTGCGCAGGGCCGAGCGCCACCAGCGAAGGTTCAGCGCATCCGGGTTGTCGGCCTCCAGCCGCAAGACCCGGGCCGACACGTCGGCGAAGAGCTTCTGATCGGGGTCGCCGGCGGACCCGCCGGGCGTGGCCGAGGAGGCGCCGGCCGCCGCCACGGCTGACTGCCGCTGGCGGCTGGACCGGAGCAGCGGCGACGCGGAGCCGGCCGAGGCCGGGGTTGAAGCCGCGGCCGCGGCCGGGGCCGGGCTGGCGCCTGCTCGGGTCACATCGCGCGGTCGCCGGCGCAGGGCCGCCACCGACGGGGCCAGCTGCTCGCCCGGCAGCGGGAGGTCCTCGGCATCACTCTCATAGGCCGAGTCAAAGTCCGAGCTGTGGAAGTCCGTCGGCGGGTCGCTGACCTGCGAAGAGGAGGCGGAGGAGGCGGAGGAGGCGGAGGACCCGGCCACGGTGGCCGAAGAGGAGGCACAGGGGGAGGGCGGACTCCCGGGGTCCGGGGGCTGGCCATGCAGGGCCGACGTGTGGTCGACCTGCAGGCGCCGGAGCTCGGCCAGATGCTCGGCACGCGCCTGAAGCAGGCCGGCCGGCGTCAGTAGCTGCGCCGCCGGGCCGAGCACCGCCCCGGAGGGCAGTCGCAGAGCCCCGGTCTCCTCGCAGAGGAGCGCCTGCCCGGGGGAGGGGGCGCCCGCGCCGCCGCCCTCGGCCTCGGACTCCGACCCGGAATCCAAGTCCAGGTCCGAATCGGAGAAGGCATAATCCAAGCCATCCCACACCCGACGCAGGCGGTCGTAGAAGGCCACGGCCCCGGGCGACACGGTCGGGCCCCGGATGAACTCCCGGTCCGAGGGCAGGTACAGCAGGTGCCGGGCCACATCGCCCGCGGTGGCCAGCACGGCCACATCGCCGGCCCCCGAGCCGGCCCCCTCCAGCCCCGGGTCCGTGGGGGTGGCCGTGCCGGAGCTGGCGAACAGGGCCGGGCTCGGGGACACCGACCGGAAGCCCATGCCGCCGGCCGGCGTGCCCGGGGGGGGATACGGCGGCATCGAGGAGTGCGGCCCGCTGCCGGGGCCGGGGGCCGGCATGCCCGGGCCGGAGCCCCGGGCCCCGGGCTCATCCTGCCCGGCGCTCGGCCCGCCGGCCGCCGGGTCGGCATCGAAATCATCATCCAGCACATCGGGGGACTTGATGCGCCGCCGGCGCTTGCGGGTGCCGGTGTCCGACAGGAAGCCGCCCCCGCTGGGGCTGGCATTGTCCTCCTCGGTGGGGTCCATGCCGCGGGCCGCCGGCCCGGGGGGGTCGGCCATTGGCCCATCGCCCGGGGCGTCCGCCAGGCTGGCCGACGGGAAATACACCGGCGGGGTGGGCGGCCGCCGGGAAGACCGGCGTACCGGCTGCGGCGAGGGCGACCGCGTGGCATCCGGCCCGGGAGATCGAGTGGGCATGCGCCGCGAGCGCCGGGTCCGATCGCCGGGCTCCGGCGCCGGGCCGGACGACCCCCCCGCCGGGTCGCCATTGCCCGGGGGGTCATCGTCCTCGCGCTCGGTGGTGGCCCCGGGCCCGGGGGCATCGTCATCGGCCCCCGCCGCCACCGGGCCACTGGCCAGGGGCTCCTGCTTGATGACGGCCACCTGCCGGGCGCCGCCGGAAAGCAGAGCCTGACCAAGGAGGTCGGCATTGGCGGCGGCCGGGCTGAGCCCGGCCACCGGTGGGGTGGCGCCCGATGCGACGGCCGCCGCCGCCGCCATGGCTGCCGCGCGCACCGGTCGACCGGTCACCGACCCCGTGGAGGTCGGCCCATCGATGGGGGGCTTGTGCTCGGCCTCGCGGCCGCGCGGCCACCAGGCAAAGCCGGCCGGCACCCGGCCATGGCGGATGAAGCTCACCGCCGCCCGGGTGCCGAGGCAGGCCAGGAAGGCGGGGTTCCGCCGGAAGGTCAGGTACGGCTCGCGCGCCGGGTCCACCGATGCCAGCTTCGACACCTGGACAGCCATGCTGCGCGCAGGGCACCACAGCAGCCCGGGGCAGGTGGGCCGACGGGGGACAGAGGGAGGGGGGTCAGTCGGCAGGGGGGGGGGGGGGGGGGGGGGGGGGGGGGGGGGGCGCGCGCGCGCCCGCGCGGGGGGGTGGCTTGCCGGGTGGCCGCCCCCCCGCCCCGCGTCCCCCCCCCCCCCCCCCTGCTGGCCGCTCCCACGAAGGTGGGAACGTGCCTGGCCGGCTCCTGGGGGATCAATCTAGCCCGGGCGAAAAATGGCCCCGGCAAGACCCCTCCCGGGCGCCTGGGAAGCACTCCGCCGGGGGGGGGGGGGACGCGCGGAC